TTCTATTAACTTTTGTATTTCCTCATGCTTATCGTTAGTAGAAGTAGATGCTGATTTGCCTTGCAATTTAATTTAATACTTTGAAGCCATATACAAAGAAATGTTTTTAACGTTCAACTTTTTTCGACAAGACTTTTTTTCTATTCTATGATTAGGTATATTATTTATAATCATTAAAGAAGATTATCTCGAAAAATTTGCATTCAATAAAAATGTCTGAATAAAAATTATTTACGTTTTTATCTCACTTAAATAGTTGGTTACGTAATTATCTAAATATCGATCATTATGACTTTTAATTGTCTAAGTTAGTTTTGATAAATTAGATCATAAAAATAAATTTCTTGTAATGTTAGTTTTTGAAAATACGACTAAAAATCCTCTTAAAATAAATGTAAATTTTATTTAAATTGAATTAAGTATAAATTAATATTAAACTAAATTTTTTGCAATGTTTTATTAATAAATATTGAGAGTATAAGTCAATACCATCACCATAACTTTATTTTTAAATACAATATGGTCATTTTAATTATTTTATCATCAGATAGAAAAATGAAAAAACTACAGTTGTTTTATATCTGGATTGCCAATATCGTTTATAAATTTCCATGTATAGTTCGTTCGTGGACAGGAAGAGTATCCACTCATTTAAATCACTTGTTACAAACTTTACACACACAAACTCTTTGAACTGCATCATGTAACTGATGTCTACGTTACATTTTGCTTTCCTCTGCTTATTTACAGTAAATTTAAACATGCGAACGTCTGTAGATTTACTTTTACAATTTGGTGCCACACAGTAATCCATTGTTTAAAGGTTTGAGTACTTATATACGTAATAATAGCCAGGGCCGGATCATCGCATAGACAAATGAGACAAATGTCTAGGGCCCGGTTTTTAGAAGGGCCCGGTCAAACTGTCTATTTTGAAAAGATTTGTAATAAGATAGATTACTCTTCTGTTGGACAACTGTATAATAATGGTAAAATATTATATTATTTAAATATTAACCAAAAAGGTTAAATTAAACAAGTAAAACGGCAAAACCGTATTTGGGACACGACTATGTCTCGGAGACACTACTAAGCGGAATCACTTTGACGCTCAAAGCGGATCTTTTTCTCATTCTCCAATATTCTTTGGTATCGCTGCTTTTGGGCGCGATCGTTCAAACTTCGCCAGCCACGACCACGAGGTCGTCCACCATGCATTTTCGATGAAATTAACCTATCCAATTTCGAAATTTCTCTCCGTTGCGCGTCGGCCCGGGTTGAATTTTTGTCGATGCCTAACGAAAATTTCCCGTCTTTGAAAAAAATAATCGTGGCTATTGTATCGTCCGAAATTATTATTATTTTTTTTTTATTTTGCACGAACAATATACAGTTTAACCCGATCATAACACCAAATTTTTATCGGTCCCACGATTTTAGTATACTAGATAACGTTAAAAAACCTACATGTAACGACATAACATTAATGTTATATGAAGCATTCCCAAATTTACAAAATTAGATTACAAATTTTATTTAACAAAGAAAATACTACGTGTTCAGTCCTAGAGTCAGAGTCCATTTCCTAGAACGACTGCGGGTGTTACTCTCACCACCTGACTTCGGTTTGCCTGTTTGTAGACAGAGTCGCCATTTTGTATTTTACTTTGACTCGGTATGGGTCCTCTGAGTACCTACAAGTCTGTGTTTTTTTTTTTATGCGCGCATGATTTGGGCATTTAATACTCTGTGCCAAATTGCAACTCCTGACATATACACCTTTATACCTCTAAGCTGGTAACACAGCAGGCAGTACGATTTTATAGACAACACATAGTCTTGTTGACAATTAATATTTTAAGGTAAATATTGTTATTGTACAACAACTTTTGTTAGACGTTTAATAAAACAAATTTCAATTTTTTAAATTTATAAACAAATTGTTCAAACTTTTCTAGAAAAACTAAAATTTATTGTTGTGTATTAAATATTTTTTATTAATAAAAATTTAAGATTTGTTTTAGTTTTTCACATTATTTAGTTTTGTTTTATTTATTGTTTTATATTTTTTGTGTGCTCTATTTCTAGTGTGAGAAAGGGGAGCCCGTAAGAAGAAAATGTCTAGGGCCCCAAAGTGGGTTAATCCGGCCCTGATAATAGCCGACTCACGCAGGAACTACGTGTGGAGTGTAGTCTATCGATAAGTCCCAAAATGACCGCTGCCACATAGAATCACGGGAGCGTGTCCTGATCTTATATAGACCTTGCTACTGGCACTCTATGTTATTCTATCTCGTTGGATAAGTACGATAAACAGCTTTCTTTCAATCTGACAATGTTGCTGAAATTTAACAGAGTTGCCATCTGTACGACAATTATCGTATTTGTACGACAATGCGGTTTTGTGCGATAATTTCAGAAATACGCCTTACTTTCAAAATAACTGTTAACTATTGGAAACAATTAATTCCCAATTACCATTTTTATACTGTACCTATCGCCTTCTCATTGATATCTCATGTCTTTTTTCTCCGCTACAGGCTACTAAATTTTCGGAAGATATTGCTTAATTAATCGTTATATATTATTTTATATTCTTGATTATAAGGCGCACTTTTTTCTTACTTTTCGAGACTGCTAACTGCTTCACGACCGACTGATAAATTGATTTACAAAGAAAATTTGTACTAAACGTTCTGTTGTAATGCCATTATATTTCTACTTGTACAAAATATAAGTACTATATTAATACATTTTGTTACAGAGTAGTTTCCATCTAGTGAGCTCTCTATAACTGAGCCCTTTTTTGATATAGGGCAGTATTTCTTAAACTAAGAGGTCACAAGCACTTGAATGTGAATCATACAAGAGGTGATCCTTGTATCTGACGGACTCAAACAGGTGAACTTTGCACTTTCCGACACAAAATAGACTATCCTTGTACTGCCGGCCACGGGAGAGACGATCCTTGCATTTGCCGACACCAGGAGGCGATCCAAGAACAAAACAATCGATGGAAATGGCGATTGCTTTGTTCTTGTGTTTGTTCGTTTTTCGCGCCTAAATTCTGTTAGGCGGATTCAGTCGCATCAGAGAGCACGGACATTGTCACTTTAATATCTCTATATATCGAAAACGAAGTCATGGACTTTCATTTACAAGTTAATTTTGAGGCGGAGTTTAGCGAAGCCTCAAAAATGACTTGTGGCTTACATAATTGTGTTCGTTCTGAAAATCTGTTCGATCGATTTTGATTAAACGTTACTATTTTCAATTAATTGCGACGAAAAATCCAAAAATGTAATAAAAAATGGGAGTCAATGACTTCGTTTTTGCGATATAAGATCGTATCAAGAGCGCGAGCGACAAAGCAATATCGCATGAATCGCGCGAATTTGTTGTACGATGTTTTACGGTCGCTAGCACGTCTTCTATGGGTTTACAGCAGCGGCGTAGCGTGGGTGTCAGCCGTTTGGAGAGGAGGAAAATTTCGTCCCCTTATTTAGGTATCTCTATTTAAAAGACTAAAATTCAGTTTTGTCACAGAACAAGCAATGAAAAATTCCGTGCTAGTGCAGCGAAAAAAGGTCAACAGGTTGCGCAGTATATCCTCGGATGAAATTACTAGTTCACCCGGACGGCGAGCCGATTCCCGGACTGTCTAGACCAGGGGTGGCCAACAGGAGGCCCGCGGGCCTCATGCGGCCCGCCTGGAGTCATGTTGTGGCCCGCGGAGCTAGGTCGAATGAACGTAAATGTTAACTTTATTGTAAATATCACCAAAAGAACATTACATCATGAGTTATTCGTATCATGTATTTTTAAATTATAGCTAAGAAAAATATGAAATAGCTCTCATTTTTGGAAAAATTTATAGATTTTTGGCTATTTCAAATATCCCGCTATTTGACACTCGAGGTTACTTAGTTTTTTGTCCGACGCTAGGTGTTGATAAAATTTAATATGCGTGTAGCGACAACATCAGTGGAGATCAATTTTGATGCACTTAGTTCTGTAAAACAAAGTCAGATGTCTCACTTTTAAATATTTTTAAATTGTCTAATAAATATGTTTGATTCTCGGTTATATTTTATTTTCTTCAAAAAAATAAATATACCTATTTTTTGTGTTTTTTTTACATTAAACCAGGCAAGTGTTTGACCACGATATCACCTACTGAGAAGCGACGATGTGGTTGAAGCTGTAGCACGCTTGCTTGTTTACTTTAATTAAAAAATAAGAAAAAAATAGGTGCGTGGCCCGGCAGGAAATGTTATTTCTGAAATTTGGCACGCCTTCTGAAAAGGTTGGCCACCCTTGGTCTAGACGATAGCACTATCGTAGGCGCGACGCAAGTTTAGATTAGAATGGTTCAAATTTTTACAAGATCTTATTATTATTTATTGTGAAATTTTGCCGCCCCTGCCGCCCCCACTACGCTACGCCACTGACTTACAGAATCGAGTTTGTCCTCAAAATTTAATCGGCGAATTTTGATAAAACTTTGCCATTTTCCATTAATTTCGATGAAGAATCAAAAATATAATAAGGATCCATTTAAATATAAAAAAGCCCACTAGTGGCCAAGCGGTTCCGTTTCCTAAACACTGGAAGTTCGGTCGTGGATTCGCGCCTCGCCAGGACGGGTTGGGCAAGTGTAGTTTTCTGGGTTTTCTCCACGTCTGTAACGCCTAAATAGGAGCCAGTTACCCTTGAAAAACTCCCGGAAGGCATCCCCTAGACAGTCGCTCAAAACAAATATAAATCAATATAAAAAATAGGAGTCCATGACTTCGTTTTCGATATACAAGATTAATAAAGTGACAATGTTCGTGCTGTCTGATGCGACTGAGCGCGCCTAACGGAATTTAGGCCTAGGGTCAAAAATAAAAACAGTCTTGCGTGCGCCTAACGAAAAAATAGGTGCGAAGAACAAACCAATCGCCATCGATTGCTTTGTTCTCGGACCGCCTCTCCGTGTCGTCAAGTGCAAGGATCGCCTCTTCGTATCGGGCAGTGCAAAGATCGTGTCTCCCATGGCCGGCAGGTACAAGGATAACCTCTTTTGTGGCGGCAAGTGCAAAGTTCACCTGTCCGGGTTGTCAGGTACAAGAATAGCCACTTATATGCTTAACGGGTGCAGGGATAACTTCTTTCTTTCCGGTTTCCGCCTCAATACTATCGCGACACAACAAAATCGCGCGATGTCCTAGCTTACATTTAAATGCATCCTCATTACATTTTTTGACTCCTCATCGCAATTAATGAAAAATAACAAAGTTTAATCAAAATCGATCGAACATATTTTGAGAACAAACACAATTCTGTAAGCCACATAGGAGAGGTTTCCTAACACTGTGCCTCAATAATTATTTATTAGTATTCGATACGTCGAAATTGTATGCAATAACGTAAATTTTAGATTATGCCATTCAGGTTTATTTTGCACCATGTATTATAAAGGGAAGTCGCAAAAACTCCATTGTAAATGGGGTTTAAATTTTTTTTGATAAAAAGTTTAATAGATTCTGACGTAGGGAATCTAGTCACAACTTCTATGGATAGAGGGCGTAAGTGTAACGGATCGCGATGGCTGTACGGTCATTTTAAGCATGGTGTAAGAATTTTTACACCATGATTTTTAAGTGAAATACGATAATTTACGATAATTTTCTCTCGTAAGGTTGGCAACCCAAAGCGCTACTCTAGTTCACAGAGAGATCTCGTTCTCCACGTGCGAATCTGGTGTATAATGCGGATTGTTTATAAGAGCCAAAACTATTCAAATTAGGAAGAAAAATAAAAAATAATATTATTAAAAAAGTCAGAGAACGAAAATGTCTGAAATTCAAGTAAAGAATGAACCTTTGGACGCATTAGAATTGGAAAGCAGGTAGAATTCTCTTTCATTCATTTAATTATATACAGTGAAACCTGCGTAAAACGGACTCGTACGGTACCGAATATTTTTTCTGCTTTGGCTGATTTCCGTTTTAAACAGGTTATTTTTTTTTAACACAGAAAATTGCTGAGTTTCTAAGAATTTTCCCCGTTTAGGCAGGTGTCCGCGTTTTCTTAAGGTTCCGCTTTAGACAGATTTTACTGTACTAAGCCGTTAAACGTTATTTCATAATGAAAAGAAAATACTTAAATTAATTTCATTCATGTTTAGGTTATTTTGAATGAGAAACATTGAAATAATATTAAAAATAAATAAATAAACTTTATTTTTAATTGTTTATTGGTGTACTTTCACACTGCTGAAAGTTAAGTAATTTTTATGAGAAGTTCATTTTTTTTTTAATGTTTCAGAGGTCAGTCTTTTTAAGACATAAGGAAACTAATGATTCATCACTTCAAACAAGCATTGTGTGAGAGAGAAAAAATTGTTAATGGGATTCATTTGGCAGTTTAGGGTGTCTTTAATAGATGTAAAAAAAGATGTAAAAAATGAGGCAAGCTGTAAAAAATAAAATTTGAGCAATGAAAAGATCTTCAATGCTCATGAACAATGACTGGTTCTTTGAGAATTAAAGCCAGAAAGTGTTGAAATATATTTTGAAAAGAAAGCTATCCCAAAAAGAATTAGAATTATTTAAGAGAAAATCATTTTAAGGATGCTACATAAAAAAGATTTTTGTTAGCAAGGTGAATAGACAAAAGAGGTTGAAGATTATTCATGAGCATGTTTCAAAGAACTTTGAACCATTAGAAAAATGTTGTTTTGGCTGATGAAACTAAATTTAATTTTGATCTAGAATTGTCCATAAATTATGTAATGCTATTTTTATATTCTTCAACTGCCATCTCACCCTTGCAATGGAACTAAGGAATAACACACAGCACAGGATACTGAATATTATTTTATTAATTACATGTGTATGTAACATATAAAATGCACAAACAGTACAGATCATTATGAAACACTTCAGAAACAAAAATGAATCATTCTGTTATTCATGGATTGAGACCTTAGCATTACATAAATACCTCCCATCCCCCTAAATGCATCATGCCCACCCACTCATATCTACATTAAATAATTTATGGACAGCCCCCTAATGGAAAAACAATGGTATGGAGCAAGCCAAATAAAGAAATTAAATCTGTTTACAACTTACTGTGAAACATACTGGGTAGAAACCTAAAAATATGGTGATGCATGTCAGCAATAAGAGTGGGATCTTTGGTATTTATTGATAGTTCTATGGATCTTAAAACATATATAAACATATTAAAAAGAAATTTAAAGCCTAGTACAAAGCTTAGGATTTTAAACAATTTTGAAGGTTATCAAAACAATGATACTAAGCACAAAGTTTACAATACATGTAGGGTAATTGCACCAATAATCAACTGTTTAAAGCTGTTTTGGACTTTGATATTTTTTATTACCATATGTAGTAACACAAAAAACAAAATTCATGTATGAAAATAAAATTTGTTTTATACTTGTCATGGAAAAAACATTTTCTATTAGACCTTTTTTTATATTATGAAAAAAAATAACTTAATCATGGGCTGTTCAAATAGTAAACTAGTGGGTCACATGATTATTTATGGCAGTTGACAACTGGGTTTTCCTTCATCAAGAGTAGGGAAAATGTGGCAACTGAGAAAGGCAATAATAGACATTTTGTAGAAAATATGCACCTGAAATATGGATTCTTTATCATGTAAAGACCTGACGATGCTTCACTATACCAGAAGGGGTGTTGCATAATAATTTTTTCCATCACTTGAGTGAGCCAACTTGTTATTCTTACATGTCATTTAGAATGAGGCCATCTTATGATTCTTCCTGTGAAAATGGCTTATTGAAATCTGTTCTGATGGACTAATTGCTGGTGCTCTATCTTATTTTGAAAGGAATTCTATATAGCCTTATCATTCAAGTATGGCAAAACTATCTCTGTCATAGCACAGAAGTATGTGTAGTGATGGTAATGGTGAGACAGATAGCACATAATTATGTTTCTTAAAAATTTTAGCAAGATGTATTGAGAGATGTATTGAGATAGGTCCTAAGTAAAAGACTAAAACCTGTGTGTCTTTTTTTGCTTTTGCTAACAAAAGCAAAAAACATATACAGGAATAATATACTTAAACTTTACACCCTTAAAACTTTACAATGGAGATAGTTAAATTTGACAAGTATATAACATGTTTTTTGGACCATTGAGCAAATTCATTTTATTGTTTAATTTTTACTTGTTCTACTGATAGATCCTTTAGTAATAAGCATACATTTTGCTGAAGAGAACTAATCACACAGGAAACATACCAGTAATTGACTATGCCAACTTTATTATTCAAGGAAATTCATTTCGGGCCTTCTATCCCTCTTCAGTCCTTTATTATAGATCTACTTAATTAAACAATGAATGCTATATAGTGTTGTAACGAATAGTATATTCGGCCTCAGGCCGAATACCGAATATTCGGCCAAACTATTTGGCTCGATTATCGCACATACGAAAATTGGCGTGCAAACCGCATTATGGCAAGGACCCCGCTCTCTATTGGCCCGTTGTCACTACGCTTCGCCAATCGCGTTAATTCTTGACAGTTGAAGCGGACAGACATGAGCGTCATGGCAGTATGTGATAAGTGATGATATCAAATGTGGATAACAATGAAATGTCCTACACGTGTAAATAACGGAGAAAGAACAGAGAAGGACCGCAAAGTGAAAATGTGAAAATAAATATGAAATTGAGTCGATAACATAATCGAACGAGTCGAAGCAGCTTATTGGCGCAAAATTTGCGGCCGTCAATGCCAAACAATTGTCGTCATAGACTTCGGAAAGCTAAATGCTTGTAATGAAAGTCACTTAGCGTGCACGGGCGAAATCCTGGGGCCGTTCAGGCTATCAAGCTGTCTCGAATCTGTGAAATCATAACTGTGACTTATATCTACGTCCTATCTGTCTCTTTTCTCCGTTATCACCAGGCTGAGTCACGTAATTGTAAAATGGGAACTCTACAATGGAAAAGTGACGAATCGAAAGTATCGTGAGCGCGTATTGTGATGTATGCACGGTATAAAATAAAATTAAAATTAAGTCAACATGACATAATTTTATAAGCATTTAAAAATCATTAAAATTAAAGTAAAACAATGAATTTAAACACAGGAATAGTCATCAGTGAGATCTGGCAGCCATTATTACATAATTAGCCAAGCCCATTGTGGCTCCCTTCCAACCCCCTTTCACCACCCAAAGGTTTATAATGCACTGTATCCTGTACCATGTAAATATCAACTGGGTTAAAAAATATACAGTACAGTGAGTCACTAATATAATTTTAAAAAACAGTCAAAAGTAATTTACTATATTAAAAATTTTTAATGTGTGTATTGTGTATTCAGTATGGTGTATTAGAATTATATAGCATTAGTGATGTAACGAANTTAAGAGAACTAATCACACAGGGAACACACCAGTAATTGACTATGCCAACTTTATTATTCAAGGAAATACATTTCAGGCCTTCTGCCCCTTTCAGCCCTTTATTACAGACCTTCTTAATTAAACAATAAATGCTATATAATTCTAATAAGACATACTGAATTTACAATACACACATTAAAAAATTTTTAATATAGTAAATTACCTTTGACTGTTTTTTAAAATTATAATACTGACCAGTGGATGAATCAACTTTGTATTCATAAACTAATAAATAAAATTTATATTAAATTGACTATGAAGCTACAATAAAATATTTTTTTAAAAAATAAAAAAATTAAAAGGGTTGTATACCTGTATAAAAGTAAATGTAAAATGGTCTAAAAGGTTAATTAAAAAGGGGATAAATAAAATTAAAATTAAGTCAACATGACATAATTTTATAAGCATTTAAAAATCATTAAAATTAAAGTAAAACAATGAATTTAAACACAGGAATAGTCATCAGTGAGATCTGGCAGCCATTATTACATAATTAGCCAAGCCCATTGTGGCTCCCTTCCAACCCCCTTTCACCACCCAAAGGTTTATAATGCACTGTATCCTGTACCATGTAAATATCAACTGGGTTAAAAAATATACAGTACAGTGAGTCACTAATATAATTTTAAAAAACAGTCAAAAGTAATTTACTATATTAAAAATTTTTAATGTGTGTATTGTGTATTCAGTATGGTGTATTAGAATTATATAGCATTTATTGTTTAATTAAGAAGGTCTGTAATAAAGGGCTGAAAGGGGCAGAAGGCCTGAAATGTATTTCCTTGAATAATAAAGTTGGCATAGTCAATTACTGGTGTGTTCCCTGTGTGATTAGTTCTCTTAAACAAAATTTATGCATATTACTGAAAAAATTCATTTTAGTTCCTCTTCAATTAGTGTTGGAGTGTTTGCAGAATTGTGAGTTTTTTTTAAAAAAAAGTGCAGCAGTCTTCTGCTATGTCATCAAAGAAGATATTTTGTTCTTGCTACTTTGTTTTACTTAACAATTTTTTTGTGTGTTATGCTGATAAATATTTCAACAAATTACACTAATTTATAAGTACCACAACAATGTTAAACAACGAAACAAATAAATGAGAGTTTACATTAACTATTTGCCACATTGAAATTAATACAACTATGAATTTAAAAATTTAAAATAGAATAAAATTTATCTAAAACAGATACACTATTACTAAATACTGAACCTGTTACCGGTGTAATTTGCGTGAAAAAATCCTTTCCACAAACATTTTCGAGCTTTCCAACTAGCTCTTCTTCAGGTAGACAAAAAATTCCGACGAAATACGAAAAATGGAACGTAGATATTTAAATAAAAACCGAATCTAAAAATAGAACGCAGATGTTTAAATAAAAAATATGAAACTCGCATAACAAACGATCATTAAGATGGTCATGCGCAATCGTGCGCTGATGTTGCTATTTATAGATCGTTGTTTATGAGGGCCTGCCACGCTATAGAAAGATTAATCTCATCTTTCCGATTTATACATGTGGTCCGGTGGTTAGCCTTACAGATGAATATAGCTTCCCGCCATTTTAGTTGTTCCAGGTGGGGCGTAGTGTCAATGATGTCAGCTTTGTCGAACTCCGGTTCTATATCGGGATCAGATGCAAAGGTGGTTAGGGCCGAGGTGTACCGCCCATGCTGAAGGTCTGCTTGATGCTCTTGCACTCTGGTATTTAAAGATCGCTTGGTTGAGCCGATATAGACAAGGCTCTCGTTACATCTGTTATCTTTCAGCGGGATAGAGTACACGCCAGGAAGCCTGCTACGAACTGGACTGCCTTTTCCATTTCTAAGGATGTCGTAGATTGTTGGGCATCTTCTATAGGCTATTTGTAATTGTTGTTTTCCGGCGATCTCAGCGTATATCGCTTTAACATATGGGTTAAAGGTGACTGGGAGGCGTGTACGTTCATCCTGGTCAGT